ATTGTACCATGCAGCCTAGTGGTGAGAAAAGGAGCCTCATGGCGCGCAGTTTGAAACAAACCCAAAGTAAATCGGATAAAAATTGAATTTTATACAAATATTTTAAAAGAGGACATAACTTTATGTCCACTATGCGTTAGCGTTAGACGAAACAGGACTCAAAAATGAGTCCAATTAGCGCGAAAGTGTTAATTAATACCAATTGAGATTAAAGTATAAATTGTATTGAGAAAATAAAAAATAAATAAAAGGGGGGGAACATGGCAGAAAATAGCAAATATACAATTTGGCCAACAAACAGCATTGTTTAAAGTAGTAGACATGGGTTGACATTTAGGGGTAAGGAAGGTTACAAGGAGTTAATTAGGTAGTACTTAGTTTTTATCTTAAAGACTACCTCTCCCAACCAGTTTAACATGATTGGGAAGGTCATTCCACATTCTGGGTCCCTTGATTTGTAGAGCGTTTCTAGTTTGATTAAGTCGTACTCTTGGAATATCAAATAGGTATTTGTTTCGGGTGTGGTGCCCATGGGTTATGTTACAACCTTCTAGGAAGCTTTTGAGGTCAGGATTGACACTACAGTTCAGTATTTTATATATATAAAATACACATGAGAGGATGTGCAATGACTTAATATCTAACATATTCAGAGATTTGACTAAGGGTACCAAGTGATGTCTGGGGCCAGAGATAGATATCGTTCTAATAGCAGCTTTGTGTTGAGTAATTAGAGGACGTAAATGATTTTGGGTAGTAGAACCCCAAGCACAAATACCATATTGTATTATAGTTGAGTTAAGGAAAGATGAGAGAGTAATAGAGCGTCACCAGGGCAGGGCGAGGTACATAATATCTGATCTTGGTAAGAATGCCAACAGTTTTTGAAACTTCTTTTTATACTGTATATTTAGAATGTGTCCCTGGAAATTCAGCTTGTTGTTAATGAGAACGCCAAGGAATTTGCTATCTACTTTGTTACAAATTTGGGTATTGTTTATCCTGAGATTTATTTGATTTGACCATTTATTGCCAAACAAAATATATAAAGTTTTGTCAATGTTGAAGGTGAGTTTGTTGGCAGTTAGCCAGAGATGATCTTTATTTAGCTCAGTATTCACTGTGACATTTAGAGCAAGGGGGTCAGGACTGGAGTAAAGGAAGGTTGTGTCGTCAGCAAATAGAATTGGTTTGAGGTGTTGGGAGGCATTTGGAAGGTCATTAATGTAGATGAGAAAGAGGAGAGGGCCAAGTATGCTGCCCTGAGGAACAGTAATGTTGATGAGTAGGGTGGGAGAAATTGAATTATTCACAGAAACATACTGGAGCCTGTCAGTAAGGTAAGACTGAAGGTATTGCAGGGAGTGTCCTCTGACTCCATAATGATGTAATTTAAGAAGAAGGTTTTGGTGGTTGACAGTGTCAAAAGCTTTACGCAGGTCCACAAATAACCCAACAGGGAACTCATTTTTTATCGAGAGCTGCATGTATCAAGTTATCATACTAATAAGTGCATCGTTAGTGCTTTTTTTTTTTGTCTTGATTCCATATTGACAAGCGCTAAGTATATTGTGTTTGGCTAGATAAGAGTAAAGCTGCCTGTAGATTAGTTTTTCAAATATTTTTAACAAGTTTGGCAGATTTGATATAGGTTTGTAGTTGTTGACATCAGTGAGATCACCACATTTGTGGACTGAGGTTACTCTCACTTTTTTTAGAATATCTGGAAAGGTTTGGAGGTCAAGTGACTTGTTGTAGAGCAATGGAATGGCAGGAGCTAAGGATCTGGAGGCCTTTTTGTAAATTAGAGTTGGTATCTCCTCAAGGGCACTAGACTTGGTTTTAAGGGAAAGGATTATCTCATTAACATCAGTGGAATTAGCAAGCGTTAGGTACAGAGACTGTGGATAGTTACCTGTAAGATAGTCCTGAACATTAGTACTGGAAGATGGAATATCATTTGCAAGGGATAACCCAATGGATGAGAAGAACCTATTGAACTCAATAGCAGTATCAGAGGCTGAAAGCAGACCATCGTTATTGGATAGGAGTATTGATTTGTTATTTAAAATCTTCTTTGATCCCAATATTTGTGAAATTGTGCTCCATGTTGTCTTAATGTTGCCCTTTGTTTGGGTACATTTATCTTCGTAGTATTTAATTTTGGCTCTTCTAATTATTTTACATAGCAATGATGAGTAATTCTTTGAAAATTCTTTGGAGACGATTCCTAACCTATACTTCTTCTCAAGGTCATGTTTTTTATTAATAGATTTAAGTATTCCCTTTGTAAGCCAAGGATTGTTTAGCCTTTTAGTTGTGACTTGTTTTGTTAGCATAGGACAGTGGGTGTTATAAAGGCTGAGAGATTTTTGAAGAAATGATTGCACTGCTAGGTTGATGTCCCCTAAGTTACCTAATTCGGACTCCAAGTTGATATTAGCAGCAGCAGCTATAAAATTGCCTATAGCAGTTTCATTGTGCAGCCTAAAGCTCATCTCCCTTGTCTCTAGAGGTGGTTTGTTAATGTTGGTTAGGAGAAACGTGGGGTAATGGTCTGTAGTGCTATCAATGATTATCCCTGAAGTAAGCAGAGAGGTTATGTTGGTCCAGATGTGATCAAGAGCTGTGGCAGTACTATCAGTGATTCTAGTAGGTCTAGTGATTAAGGGTATGAGGAAGCAGGAATCCATACAGTTGAGGAAACTAGCAGCAGGGGAGTTATCAGGCTCGCAGAGGTCAATATTAAAGTCACCTGCGATAATTAGATGGTTTTTGTTCAGTCTGTTATCTAGTATTAGATTTCTAAGGTTAGAGTTGAATTCGGACACATCAGTGTTAGGAATTCTATAGACTGCTCCCACAGACAGGACAGACTCGGCACCCTTGACTCTGAAACAGGCAAAGATATACTCTCCACAGGAGTCTCTAGTACTAATTACTTTTAAGCATGTCAGTTCATGGTGGTAGTAAAGAGCAGTACCACCACCTCTCTGAATTGGTCGACAGTTGTGGGTAGTTTGGCATGTTAAAGAGTTTAGTAGTAACCTCTTTTAACCACGTTTCAGTAAGTATAACAAAAGAGAATTTGTTGTCAACAGTTTGAATCAAGGCACTAACATCATTAAAGTGTTTGCTTACAAATCTTACATTCAAGTTAATTACAGGCACATTGTGATTATGTTAATACATTTTTTACATCTTGTGCCATATAATATCTGCAGTTTTGATCATGAAAGTGATGATTGTCATTAATACTAGATAAGAGGTTTAGTTCAGAGTCTGTACTTGTTTGCATAAGAGGACTGGTAATAATAATAAAGATTAATCATTTCAGCATGCAGCCTATTGCATAGTTAGCACCAACTTGAAGCTGATTCTCTGGTACAGTGGTATTGCAGGTTCCCATCTTTTTAAGGTAGGGTATAACCTCGTCCAGACTTCTCTTGAGAGCCAGATTGTCAAGGCTAGGCTCAAGCCGCACATGAGAATGCTGTCTCGGCCTGTCTCGGCAGCTAATTTTTCCTGCTTCTTTTTTTTCCCGTCTATGTTGTGGGTCCTCATAGACTTTGACGTTATGTTATGCAGATATTTCTTGAGGTTGTGTTGTGCTGGGTGGGAGATGGTCTTCATCTTTCCACTGGGGTTTGTAATAGAGGCGTGACCTACGTCTTTCAGTTCTAGCCTGAGGTTGGGTTCAAGTGACTCTTTGGCCACTTGAAGACCTGCCTCTCTTCTGCCCTGGCAGATAAAGTTATGACCTGGCTTGCTTTGAATGTGACCCTTTTTAGGCTCTGGTTTGCAGTCTCGTCCCACATGGTGGTTGGTGCACCCTATTTGGAATGTGTAGTTGCTACTGCTGCTGCCTGATGGTATCTATCTACAGTGGTGGGAAAACAGGACACCACGAGCATTCCTCTCGTGCTATAATTACACTTCAGTAATTACTTCACCTAGTTCATTTGGAATTGGGTCTGTATAACCCCTTCTCCACACTTCTTGCCTGCTGGCCCATTGTACATCACCTCCACGAGTCTGATTGAGCTGTCTTACCTTTGAATCTTGTATTTAAATGACTTATGAGCATCTTACCATTTGGGTCCAAGTGTGCCAGCTAATTACTTTTCCTTCCCCTTTAATGATTGGGAGCTCTTGAACCAGATTAACTTGCCTCACTAACAGTTATTACTGAGCAGAATAGCAAAAAACTTGATAGGGTTAAAAATGCATGGAACCGCCTGCCTGATGAGGCTGTTAATGCCAAAACTATTAAATTTTAAATCCAGCTGGAAAAAATCATCAGGGCAAATGGGGGGCGGACCTTTGACAAACCACTGCGTCCTGTCATTGTCAAGGCTGCTAGTGTGTTAGCGTCCCTCATACATCATATGAACCAAATATATGTAATGGCTTCCTCTCAACATTTGCCTTAGGGAGTGACCAAATAGAATAGCTCAGAAATCAGGCTTTTTAATGTATTATGCAGTATATGAAATGCACTTTCTGTGCAGTATGCATTGTTATTCCTATTTCCTTCCTTCATTTCCCTGTACTGTATCTCATGCTCATGGTGGTGTACTGTACTTGTCCTAGCTTTGTGTTCAAGTGAATTACAGAAAGGACATACTGTTGAAGCATCTATGCTTCCACCTAATCAGAAAGTAACTTAATTGGCCATTGGGTTGTTTTTCTGATGGTACTCAGTGTGTGTGTGTGGTGTGTGAGATACTAGAAGGAAAAAGCTAAAAGTTTTGTTAAAGTGCTCTTTGTTGACATTTCAGATTGGATTGAGCATTCCAAAGTCTTCCAAGGACCAATTTCACCCAGAGAGGATAGTTATAAAAGCCTCTGTAGCACCAATACACAATGTTAACCACCCCTGACTGGCCGTTCCTTACCAAGGGTCACCAGAATCTTGTCTTAGGGAGCAACTTGAATGAACTGCATAGAAATGTGCTCTATATATATACTCACAACCTAATTTTCTTTTCTTTCTTTAGGTGTATCCGGGAAAAATATTAAAGAGGCGGCGAAACCTCGCTTGCATGAACTCCTTCCTGCTCTTTCGGTAGTTGAAGTGGACGTTTTAGAACATTGCGACGATGGAACCTACGTTATTGCCATTCCAAAAGTATTAGAGGCTTTGATATCGGAAGATCTTTTGGAGTAACCCTAGATGTGGTCCCATTATCATGGCTATTACAAGGCCATTTTGATAAATAGGTCACCATCAGAATTTCAGTTGTTTTTATGCATCTGTATTTCAAAACTGGGAGTTCAGGTGATGTCATTAATTTTGTTTCCCCTACTACTGAGTGGTATTTCAGACTTGTTTAGTTATCGAGTATTGCATTTAGTTATCGATCTTTATTTATTGTTTCCAGACCCTTTAATACCTGTTATGGTATGACTTTATTTTGATGTAACTATGAGTGGAGTTTTTGTAGTCGATCATTTATTATGAGTCACGTAGAAAAGAATTGTGTGTTATGCTGTATTTTCGAGGTGGCTATTTTATCCTTTGTTTTTTGTGTGTGCGCTTTACTGCAATTTTTTTCCTTGAATCTTCTGTGCCCCCCCCCCAACCCCTCCCCCTCGGTAAAACTAGGCAAATAGCACTGATGAAACATTGAATCAACATTGATAACATTGATCCTTCATTGATTTTAAGATTACTTGGACATATTTTGCCTGCTGGGGGATGCGCGGGTGTCGGTGGTTATAAACATTCCAGTGTATTGTTCTGAACGAGATGAAACGATCCAACTAATTCATTCTATTTATTTATTTATTTTGTGCCTGATCGGGGATTTTGTTAGATATATTGTTAGTGTGACTCGCTTGTACTAAGGCGCATGAGCACGAGTATTGCATCGTCTCCCTATCACTTGTTGCTACTGCCGGAGAGTGCACAAAATATCGAATATTGAAATCGGTAATTAATTTTCAGCTGTTTATTTTTGTGTACTGTACTTGAACTGTTGTGTACTTTATTTTCATGTCACTTGAGTGAATTTTGCCTTAGTTGGATCCTTAGGCTTATATCACCCAGGTCTTGTCATGCCAGTTAATTGTATAATTGTCTCAATGCATAAATTAATCTATAAATGTTTATGAAGAATTTTTTTGCTGAGAAGCTTTTCATTCACTTCTGAATGCCCAAAGCTTTTATTTGTTCCATATTTAGCAACTAGAGTTTATGTAACAATATGCAATTGTTTATACAAATACAAAAACAATGCCTTAAGCTAAATTTAGCTTTGTGAATATTGTTAACTTGGATGTACACTGCTGAGCTGCTACCAAGGTAATGGGAAACAATGTATAATTATGTTGCATTAATGTATTTTCTTTATGATTACACAAGAATTACAATGCTGAACAGTTCTACACATAAAAATAACCCAACCCATATACTGTACATGATATGCAATGGATAATATTTCGCACTGTCGTGGACCTTTATCAAGTTGACATGACCGGGATCCAGGGTGGACCAAAACATGACATGATCGGGATCCAGAATGGACCAAAATATGACATGATTGGGATCCAGGGTGGACCACAACATGGCATGATCGGGATCCAGAGTGGACCAAAACATGACATGATCGGGATCCAGAGTGGACCAAAACATGACATGATCGGGATCCAGAGTGGACCAAAACATGACATGATTGGGATCCAGAGTGGACCAAAACATGACATGATCGAGATCCAGAGTGGACCAAAACATGACATGATCGGGATCCAGAGTGGACCAAAACATGACATGATTGGGATCCAGGGTGGACCAAAACAGTCATTTTCATGAACAAATCCACAAGTCATTTTCATTTCATTCCATATGTGTTGGGTGGTTTATTTCAGCTACACTGTTGTGACTTATTCTCTGCAATACATACACACATTTTAAGAAGAAACTATATAGCAGTTTTGCATTAGATGAACACAGTATAGTGGAGAAGATGTAATAGTACTTTGTAAACAGGAAAATACTGAAGTAAATAAGAGAAAAATTACAATAAATAGGGAATGATAAATGAATACTGTTTTCCATTTTGGTAGGTTGTGCTCATTAGCAATATTGTATATATTTAAGTGCCAAATATATGTAAACTTATACCCCCCATTGTTGGGTAATGTATAAGAGTATACCCTATTATTGGGTTCTGTTTAAGGGTATATCCCATTGTTGGGTATACTGTATAAGTAGGAGTATATTCCGCTGAAGACACATTGTGTGGCTTGACCGATGATGACTGCATTATTAAATACTTCACCACTCAAAAGCATTATCTTCACCACCTTTCATCATGTGAAATGCAATCACATATATACAGTAGTCCTAATGACACGGTGAATTATTCATTAACCACAAATAACTTGAGTTACTAAAGTATCTACCAATACAAACTCGGCATTTAATCGATTTCTGATTTATTGGTTGCTATTAATTAAAATTGTTTCGAATAGCTATTTTTTTTTTTAATTCATGATCAGATATATATGGTATGTATTATAGGGTAGTGTTTTATTTCCCGGTGTCAGGACGCTTGTACTTTGGCGTATTTAGGAACCCCCTAACTGGCCTTCCCAAGGATGCAAGCTAACAATTTCCCAATTTCTACATTCCTCTTTATTGGTTGGTGAATAGAGGCATCGGGTGAAAGGAAATGTGGCCTTAGTCCTGCCATGAGGAATGGAAGCTGGGACTTGGTTGTGAGCCGACTATGTAGACCACTGTGCTATGGTAAATCATTAAAGTGTGCTAAACATTACAATGTTATCCAAGTGACAAGAAGTTAAAACCATTATAACTCAAACTACCATTTGTTGTACAAATATTTTTAACATTTACATCAAATTGGGGGTAGTTATGTACCATGATTTAATTTCTGTTGTTTGTTATGCTAATATAACTATTAACTACCACTATCCAACTTGAATTATATTTCCATCAGCCATATTCTACATACTGTACTAGGGAGGAGCATGATAAAAAAATATCATTCTTACCCACTGTAAGGTAGTACTTTATTGTAGCAATTTGTATAAATTCTTAAGTTTGTTTTCAGTGGATAATACTTATGTATATTTAATTCTTCATTGTAGTAAATTTGACATACAAAATAATGGATGTGGTTTCTGTGGTTGAAAGTGAGCCAACATTGAGGCTGAGGAAGCAAGCTCAAGGGTTAAGCTAGATGCATTCATAAGGTGCGAACATAAGAGCTTGAGATGAAGACGTCTCAAAAAGCTGAGGACATGCCGGGAGATTTGGCTCCTCTAGTCTTTTGATAATTACTTGGCTCCTCTAGACCTGCTTGCATTAAAAAATCAAGTAATGAGAGAATGAACTAAAGAATCTATGTGAGAAATGGACTTTGATCCCGTCTGTTCTAGCTGGGGACCGCACCTGATATGACTGGCTTAGTTGAAACTATGACTCACGAGTATGGTTTTCACTGTCTACAGCACTTCGTTGCTACTGTATTGTAATTACGGCATGTTGTGGTCTCATTGAGGAATGGTGAACAGGTGGGTGACACGTGGGGGTGGGGGGAGTGTGGCTGAGTGGACAGCGCTCTGGTGTCGTCGTCCTAAGGGCCTGGGTTCAATACCCGGCAGAAGCAGAAACAAATGGGCAGTTTTCACCCTGGTGCCCCTGTTCACCTAGCAGTAAATAGGTACCTGGGAGTTACATCTACTACAGGCTGCTTCCTGGGGATGTGTGCGTGTGTAAGAGAAATATATGTAGTAGACATAATGGAGGAAAAATAAATGTGTTAGGCTAATGGAGCTAATAGCTTGATTCTGCAGATATAAATAGTAAATACTCTATTAGACTGAAGCTTGGCAAGGTCAGGCTAATGGGAGAGTGGTGAAAGTTGGGTTACCAGCACTCACTTGATCATCAGCCAATGGCACTGGACGAAGGTCAGGTTGACAGGAGAAAGCAGGTGATTTGCCAATGACTTCAGCCTCTATTTGATGCTACATGCTAACCAACCCAACCCAATGGCCCATTCATTTCTAACTCTTCTCAGCCATCCAATGGTTTCATATTTTTCGCTAATCATTCTTGCATTAATGTGTGTAGCAGGCTGTAAGATGTAAGGAAAATGTGCACGAGATTTAGACAAGATCCTGCTATTGTGACATTGATGGCTAGACAAGACACTGCTATTTTAGCAGTCTCCGTGGCGTAGTGGTAAGACGCTCGCCTGGCGTTCTGCGAGCGCCTTGTCCTGGGTTCGTATCCTGGCCAGGGAGGATTTACTGGGTGCAAATCCTTAATCGTAGCCTCTGTTTAACTCGACAGTAAAATGGGTACCTGGTTGTTAAACGATTCTTCGCTGTGGTCGTATTCCGGGGAACATGGGATTAAGGACTTGCCCAAAATGATACGTGTACTAGTGGCTGTACAGGAATGTAACAACTCTTGTATATATAAATAAAAAATAAAAAAAATTGTCCTTGACAACATCATGTATGGACAGGAGAAGTTGATATTCTGCGCGTAGGGGGCAGAAATCGTCTTAGTCATGCCCGAGAGACCCACTCCAATTGACACGACAACAACAGGTTGCCAAGTGTCTCGGAAAAGCTATGGGCTTGAGCACAGACCAAATCAACACCATTTCTGAAATGTTGATGCAAGTTAAACAGTGTTGGAGACCAACCATCATAGAAACCAGATTTTGGCATGGGTGCTACCATCTGGTAGGGGTTGTGGCTAAAAGGCAAGTTAAAATTTTTGCAAAAGCTCTACTTTGCGATCCTTGTAATTCCAAGCAGGACTTGGATTAGCTTTCAGTGAACATTCTGTATTAACTCAGGGCTGGATTGAGCTTGTTTCTAGTGCCTCCATAACACCAGTATCACTTGACAGATATTTGACAAGGTCTTGTGACAGTGCATAATGTTACCCGACCCTCGTCAGAGACCGGGCTGCAGGGACATTGATCCTCGAAATCATTGACGGGTAAAACCCTAACATTGGATCATTAACCTTACCATCAGGGAGCTGCTCAGAAATAAGAGTTACATGTTCACAAAAGTCAATTTTTTTCAAATTTGAAAGAATTAGATCCAATTGAAGAGGTTACAGTATTGTATATTGGTTCCTACTTAAAGTTTATCTGTAAAATATGTAATGATTACTGAATTTTTGTCACGTTCTTTAAAATTCTAGCATAATGTTTTTTTGAAGATTTCCATATTTGTTTTGTTTACCATGTACAGTCTTGCATAATATATATATATATACAGTACTGTACTTTTTATATACCTGTTTCTTTATTATTATTATTATTTTGATTTTGTTTCTCCTTTAATTTTGTAGTGTAGTGAGTATTTTGCAATGTAATAATTTGCATGTTGATTATACAGGATTTATGCTGTTCTTTTGCAAACAATGCATATATTCAGAGTAGAGAGTAGAGAGAGGAAAATGAATGATGCATGTAGTTTGGTAAAAGTAGAACTCAGTTAAAATTGATTGTATATTTATCTTTGGGTGTGTGGTGATAATTGAATGTGGGTTTTAGAGGAGAACCTATATTGTACACTGTACTTGTATGATTTAGTGAGAAATTTCA